TGACTGTACGTCTGGCTAGAAGCATCCACAGATTACCAGCGGCACCCTGCGCTGATAGCTGCACCCTGGTATACCATGACAATGACGTTGCACCAGGATGTCGCGACCATGAATCAGAAGGTGCCACTTTCAATATTTACAACATCACTGGCATCGCACAGACACGAGTCATTCAGCGCTCAAAGCCATCAGAACCTTCTAGCAAGGTCTGATAAGGACCTCTGAAAGTTTGACGATCTGGCGGACACGCCAGCAACGGGCGGCCACGCCCAAGAGGAGGATAGACCTCTGGCCCAGACCGCTCTCGAAGGTAGATTACAACCTACTGCTGAAGAATGGGAAACGGATTTGAAGGCACATATCATGGACACGCGACATGTAGAATCCAAGAGTCGGCGAATTACACGAGACCTTTTTCATGGGAGTCCTTATGTTCGGTGCCCACCGAAATATGTACCGACGGCCACGCACTTCTGGCCGTGGCCAGTGAAGAGCAAGGGCATTTGCGAGACATGGGTTGCGCTCGGAATCGCAATGACGACGAAATCTCCCCGGTGCCTTCGACAGCGGAATACGACGAGACATAGGATGTCGGTTCGGATGACCAAGGCCCATATGTCGAGCTAGGGTTTACTGCTGACATGGCCAAGGTCGTCCTGTCAGAAACACAGCGCGAGTCGCTGCACAACGACCAAGTAACCACAATGCGCGCACATGTCTCGGCCGCAGCAGAAAGAACTCGTCAAAGAAGACGACCTCCTGACGAAGGCAGAGATACAAGCCAACCCGACCCAAATATAGATGGCCCTGTACACAAATCTGGAAATGTAGCATGATCACAAGTGCTTCAAGATGCAGCACGTCAAAAACGCTACTAATTTCATGACCTCTAGATGCGCGTGCAAGTGGAAGTTCGTCAGGAACGGCAAAGGCGAAATATAACGAACAATAGGACTACGTCTTGTTCTTCGTGGCTCCATGGGCGTCGAAGCATTCGACGCGGGAACCTTCTCGGACACGGCTCGACGAGCAAGCCGGGGTTGTTCGCCACCGCGGCCGCGCGCAAGAGACAGTGGGTCATAGCATCCATGGGTATCGACAAGGCATTCTTGAAGGGTCGGACTTACCGCGAGTTGGCAGAGGCCACTGGTGGGAAAGAGCGCATGGCATGCATTGCTCTTCCACCTGGCTCAGCCTCGGTGCTGCGCGCACTGCCTGGCTCTCATCGCACGACGAGTCAAAGCACTGTCTCCAGTGCCTCAAGCCAGGCACAGGCACCAAAGATGCCCCTAGGGCGTTCTCGCTGAAGCTCAGAACCATCACGCGAAGCTTCGGGTTGAAACCCATTTCGCACGATGAAGTATTTGAGATAAGCCCGAACCTCCTGACGGCCAAGCACGTCGACGACATCAACGTGGCGGGAGTGGGGAAACCATTGGCCAATCTGTCAGATCCGCAGCAGGTCCGTTCGGCACATGCAAACTGCACAAACATTGCTACACCAATTGCGCCGTACGATACACTAAGACCGGGGACGGCCACGTCAAGCTAGATCAGGACGGAAACATCAAGGAACTTCGCCCGATGCAGCACCCAGAACTGACGGGCGCTGTGGCGGAAGAAAACGCAACGAAGACCGTGTCCGACACGCCCATCAGTTTACGTGGCGCCTTGGCGTACTCATTGGTCACCCATGCCTGATTGATAGTGCACGCGGTATCATTGAAGCGTGCACGGGAACCCACGAATTTCCGAGTGCGGAGACTTAGCGATGCCACGCTCAAACTGCAACAGGGTCTGGATGACAAAAAACATGTGACTCTGACAGGAGAAGTGGGCCTGCATAGTGACTCAGAATAATGTTGCCTCAATGGGAGCGACGATGACGAATCAACGGGATGTGGCATCCGATGAGCCAACCTTTTACTGCGTGGACACACGCCTATCGACAAAGCGGTCGTACATCTGTTTGGTGCACATTGCAAGTCGCATCTCTTGCAGGTGCGATCCAGTTACTCATCGGAAACATTGGCAGCCGCTCATAAACTTGAGGATTGCTTTCCGACCATAGTTACGCTACATGAGCTTGAAGGTAGACTTCTAACACCCACCCAACTTAAGAACATTATGGAGTTAGGCGGTCTCTCAATTAGGGCCGTCTGGACCATTGACGCTGAGTCGGTATGCAAACCCTTGTCAAGTAAGGACTTGAAGAATACGACTGAATGTACCCTGTTGGGACACATCAGCCAAAGAAGACATATGATAGTGTGATACACGACATATGACCGCGGACGGTCATACAAAAGGGTGTATCGATCCTGCGCTACTGCTGCAAGTGCTAGAAGGATATCAATCCTGCAAGTACGAGGTAAAGAAGTATGTGCCTTATAGAGGCAAGAAAGACACAACACCAACACTGGGGCGCACTATTCAGGGCCAGCGGACACCTATGAGGACGACCACCCACATGTGAACATGTAGTTATCGTTGCCCGGACACGGGCATGTATACCTACTACATAGTCACCCTCGCCTGGACACAGGCATAAGCACCTAATGCGTCACAGCTACCATGGGTGCCCGGACACTGGCATTGGCCCTCTTATTCCAAGAGGGGATCTGAGCGCTTGGGCACATCCCCTCTACCACTGCACGCTTTGACGGCTGGCTTTCGGCCAGTCGTCCCCCTCCTAATATCTGCGGGTGTGTACGTGGATCTGCCCGTGAGCATCCCTAATCATATGTGGTTGGTCGTGGCAATGTGCCATGACCAGCCCTAATGCTATGTATGATTCTTGCTGTACTTGCCATGGCACTGCTGGGGGCGTCGGAAACAATATTTCCTTCCTTCCTTTGTGATTGATTCAACTAACCGGGACAATGATCTAGCGTTCGGCCCCTCCCTTCCCGACATTAAACGAGGTTTAAGGAGAGGCTGTATAGCGAACGTTTGATCCGACGCTGTCTTGGCTCAAGGCAGTGCTTTCCTATTTGCTAGCCGTGTGTGATTCGATTGGGATCATAGCACCGGACAAAAGGCCACGTCCATCCATGGTCCGCCCCTCCATCCCACGGTTTCTCTCTTACCTCTCGTCATGCTTGCCATTAAGGGATGAGTTCCGGGATGCTTCGACACGTCGCCGACGTTATCCTGAGAGTAGGGTTCCCAGCCTATTACCTCATGGTCATGCCCTGCACCCTTACTTTTCACTCGATGGTCGTATTGTAGCGGAGGGCTCGACATATTAGTTCGTGTTCCCCCTCTTGGGGCCCTCGTGGGGCCGTACTGGACCGTCTTAGGGGCCTCGTGGGCCACCTTGGCCTTCTTGTGCTGTCTTGGACCCCTTGGGAGCTAATGGACCGCGTTGGGGCGATCCGCGGGGGCCTTTTGGGCATGGGCAGTCTCGGAGCAACAGCCAGCTCGAAAAAACGAAACCGTTCAATCAGGAAAGCATGCGAACGGAAAACCACTGCTGATGTTAGGTTCTCGGGGCCCTCTTGGGCTGCCTCTTGGAGCCTTCTTGGGGCGCATCGGGGCTTTCGTGAGCCGGCCCGGCGCTCCCTCGAACCGTTCGGGGCGCTTCCCGGGATATTATTGAAGGTTCGTCGGACCGTTCTGGCCGTGTTCACTGTCCTGGAGGCCGACACGACACCCCGCAAGAACACCCAAGACCGCCAGGAAGTTATGATGATATCTTGGTCTGGATGTCCCAAGAATTCCACGACCGGTCATTTTTTCAACAAAAAATCCACAACAGGTCAAGTCCGCACACCAGCATGAGTTCTGAAGCATTCCACTTCGTGCTGAAGGCACGGTGGCGGATCTTGGGTCCCTGTCGGAGCTGGCTCGGAGGGCGTCTTGGGGCCCTTCTGAGCCTCTCTTGGCGCTCTCTTGGACGATCTTGGAGCCAGTCTGGGGCCGCAGAAGCCCAGATTCGGACGCGAAGGAAACGAGAAAAGGCGAGAAGGCAAAAACCATTGTTGGCTTTTCGGGGAGTCCTTGAAATGTTTCGCATCGCATTTGAGCCGCCTTCGGAGTTTTTGTTGTGGCATCACAGAAGTAGGTTGGCCACCATAATCGTCAAACTCGGCTGTTTTGCGCCATCTTGGAGTCTTCGAGGCCATCTTAGGTACCTGGAGATTTTGAGGCCGCCGCAGGTGGGCCATCTAATCCTTCGGGTGGGAGCCGTCCTGGTTGGGGGAATGGGTTAGGGGAAAGGGCAAACCCATTCCAGAAGGGGACGAAAAGGGGCTGCGAAGAGTTGGAACACTAAACCAGAGGGCCGGTGGGATGTCAATCCCCTCGCACCAGGATTGTTCGACCCACGTCAGCGAAGCAAAAAGCGAATTCGTGCATCTGGGGTCGGGCCAAAGTGTGGGGACGTGGGGGGCGTTGGGTCGGTGCAACCCATGCATTGCGACATCGGTGTGGCCACCTGCGCCGTGCATGCAGCTCACAGGATGCAAGCGACGTGGATTCAGCGCGCAGATCGCCCACGAGGCGCCCGAGGGCGGGCACCATACGAAACACACACCTGGAAGACCCAGCCATGTGGGGACGTGGGGGGCGTTGGGTTGATAGTCGTCGTCAGCAGGAAGGGGAGGAGGAGGAGGAGGAGGAGGAGGAGGAGGAGGAGGAGGAGGAGGAGGAGGAGAAGGAGGGAGGAGAGGAGGAGGAGAGGAGGAGGAGGAGGAGGAGGAGAGGAGGAGGAGGAGGAGGAGGAGGAGGAGAGGAGAAGGAGGAGGAGGAGGAGGAGGAGAGGAGGAGGAGGAGGAGGAGGAGGGAGGAGGAGGAGGAGGAGGCGGAGGAGGAGGAGGAGGGAGGAGGAGGAGGAGAGGAGGAGGAGGAGGGGGGGAGGAGGAGGAGGAGGAGGAGGAGGAGGAGGAGGAGGAGGAGGAGGAGGAGTAGGGGGAGAAAGAGGAGGAGGAGGAGGAGGGGGAGAAAGAGGAGGACGACGACGACGACGACGCGGGGAGGGTCTGCCGCTGCTCCCCGAGGCCCCGGCGCCCGCCGCGGCGGCTCCGGCTCCCGCTGCGGAGGCCCCTGCGGCGTTCTCATCGTCGGGCCCGGTGGACATCTCCTCCCTGACGCGCATCGCCAGAGATGACCTCGGTCTGCTGGAGCAGCCCTCGGCGCCGAAGTTCAAGACGGCGCTGGCCCAGATCTACGTGCGTTCTGCCCCGTACGGCGGCTCGGACAAGAGCTCCAACGGCCACCGCTACGACTCGATCCCCTTCGCCAACGGCATGATCAAGTCTGGGATGAGCTGCCAGCTGGTGCACTACGTGCACGACGAGCACGACAAGTTCTTCGAGTTCTGCACGCTGCTAGACGCCATCATTGTGCGCTGCAACCCGGGCCAGATCAAGGCGGACGGTGGCGACCAGGCCAAGTTTGACGACGGCATGCGCAAGATGCGCAAGCTGGGCAAGCAGGTGTGGCCGTCCCCGGACGTGATGGAGTTCATGGGCGCCAAGGACGCGTTATGCAAGGTGGCGACGCTGAACATCGGCCTGGAGGACACCCTGGCGTACTACAGCGAGTCCACGTTCGCAGAGGGCTTCAAGAAGACGATGGCCTTCCAGCCGCGCGTGATCAAGCAGAATCGCGGCTCCTCGGGAGAGGGCATCTGGATCATCAAGCTGAAGTCCGGCCAATACTGCAGCACGTACGGGGAGCGCTCCTGCACGGACGACGAGAAGCTGGCCATGATGGAGGCCAACGACAACCACGCGGAGGAGCATACGGTGGCCGAGTTCATCGAGTTCTGCGTCAACGGCCGCACGGACAAGTCGGGGACATGGACGAGCAAGGGGGTGGGCAAGTACCTCGAGGGCGGGAAGGAGGCCGGTGGCCAGTTGGTCGACCAGCGCTTCTGCCCGCGGATCGTGGAGGGCGAGCTGCGCTACAACATGGTCGTGGACACGCTCGTCGGAATCATCCACAAGAAGCCGAAGGAGGGCGGCATCTCCGCCGTGGGCGGGACCGGCTCCATCTACACGTTCTACGGGCCCGAGGAGCAGAAGTTCGCGGCCTTGACGGAGAACTTCTTAACGAAGGACCTCAAGAAGGTGATGCCGGCGCTCGGGCTCGCTGACGAGCCGATCCCGCTCTGGTGGACCACGGACTTCATTCTGGCATCGGAGGTGGGCACCCCGCCAGAGCAGGAGAAGTGGATCGTGGGCGAGTTCAACTGCTCCTGCGTGGGCATCTCCAAGTGCCTAGCAGCCTACTGCAAGGACGACACGCCGAACGCCTGCTACACCGACATCGCAGCCGAGGACGCGGCGGAGGCCGATCGCATGGGCCAGCTGATGGGGGAGAAGGCCGCCGGTATCCTCGCAGCGCCCCCCGCCGCGGCGTTCTCCTCGTCGGGCCCGGTGGACATCTCCTCCCTGACGCGCATCGCCAGAGATGATCTCGGTCTGCTGGAGCAGCCCTCGGCGCCGAAGTTCAAGACGGCGCTGGCCCAGATCTACGTGCGTTCTGCCCCGTACGGCGGCTCGGACAAGAGCTCCAACGGCCACCGCTACGACTCGATCCCCTTCGCCAACGGCATGATCAAGTCTGGGATGAGCTGCCAGCTGGTGCACTACGTGCACGACGAGCACGACAAGTTCTTCGAGTTCTGCACGCTGCTGGACGCCATCATTGTGCGCTGCAACCCGGGCCAGATCAAGGCGGACGGTGGCGACCAGGCCAAGTTTGACGACGGCATGCGCCGGATGCGCAAGCTGGGCAAGCAGGTGTGGCCGTCCCCGGACGTGATGGAGTTCATGGGCGCCAAGGACGCGTTGTGCAAGGTGGCGACGCTGAACATCGGCCTGGAGGACACCCTGGCGTACTACAGCGAGTCCACGTTCGCGGAGGGCTTCAAGAAGACGATGGCCTTCCAGCCGCGCGTGATCAAGCAGAATCGCGGCTCCTCGGGAGAGGGCATCTGGATCATCAAGCTGAAGTCTGGCCAATACTGCAGCACGTACGGGGAGCGCTCCTGCACGGACGACGAGAAGCTGGCCATGATGGAGGCCAACGACAACCACGCGGAGGAGCATACGGTGGCCGAGTTCATCGAGTTCTGCGTCAACGGCCGCACGGACAAGTCGGGGACATGGACGAGCAAGGGGGTGGGCAAGTACCTCGAGGGCGGGAAGGAGGCCGGTGGCCAGTTGGTCGACCAGCGCTTCTGCCCGCGGATCGTGGAGGGCGAGCTGCGCTACAACATGGTCGTGGACACGCTCGTCGGAATCATCCACAAGAAGCCGAAGGAGGGCGGCATCTCCGCCGTGGGCGGGACCGGCTCCATCTACACGTTCTACGGGCCCGAGGAGCAGAAGTTCGCGGCCTTGACGGAGAACTTCTTAACGAAGGACCTCAAGAAGGTGATGCCGGCGCTCGGGCTCGCTGACGAGCCGATCCCGCTCTGGTGGACCACGGACTTCATTCTGGCATCGGAGGTGGGCACCCCGCCAGAGCAGGAGAAGTGGATCGTGGGCGAGTTCAACTGCTCCTGCGTGGGCATCTCCAAGTGCCTAGCAGCCTACTGCAAGGACGACACGCCGAACGCCTGCTACACCGACATCGCAGCCGAGGACGCGGCGGAGGCCGATCGCATGGGCCAGCTGATGGGGGAGAAGGCCGCCGGTATCCTCGCAGCGCCCCCCGCCGCGGCGTTCTCCTCGTCGGGCCCGGTGGACATCTCCTCCCTGACGCGCATCGCCAGAGATGATCTCGGTCTGCTGGAGCAGCCCTCGGCGCCGAAGTTCAAGACGGCGCTGGCCCAGATCTACGTGCGTTCTGCCCCGTACGGCGGCTCGGACAAGAGCTCCAACGGCCACCGCTACGACTCGATCCCCTTCGCCAACGGCATGATCAAGTCTGGGATGAGCTGCCAGCTGGTGCACTACGTGCACGACGAGCACGACAAGTTCTTCGAGTTCTGCACGCTGCTGGACGCCATCATTGTGCGCTGCAACCCGGGCCAGATCAAGGCGGACGGTGGCGACCAGGCCAAGTTTGACGACGGCATGCGCAAGATGCGCAAGCTGGGCAAGCAGGTGTGGCCGTCCCCGGACGTGATGGAGTTCATGGGCGCCAAGGACGCGTTGTGCAAGGTGGCGACGCTGAACATCGGCCTGGAGGACACCCTGGCGTACTACAGCGAGTCCACGTTCGCGGAGGGCTTCAAGAAGACGATGGCCTTCCAGCCGCGCGTGATCAAGCAGAATCGCGGGTCCTCGGGAGAGGGCATCTGGATCATCAAGCTGAAGTCTGGCCAATACTGCAGCACGTACGGGGAGCGCTCCTGCACGGACGACGAGAAGCTGGCCATGATGGAGGCCAACGACAACCACGCGGAGGAGCATACGGTGGCCGAGTTCATCGAGTTCTGCGTCAACGGCCGCACGGACAAGTCGGGGACATGGACGAGCAAGGGGGTGGGCAAGTACCTCGAGGGCGGGAAGGAGGCCGGTGGCCAGTTGGTCGACCAGCGCTTCTGCCCGCGGATCGTGGAGGGCGAGCTGCGCTACAACATGGTCGTGGACACGCTCGTCGGAATCATCCACAAGAAGCCGAAGGAGGGCGGCATCTCCGCCGTGGGCGGGACCGGCTCCATCTACACGTTCTACGGGCCCGAGGATCAGAAGTTCGCGGCCTTGACGGAGAACTTCTTAACGAAGGACCTCAAGAAGGTGATGCCGGCGCTCGGGCTCGCTGACGAGCCGATCCCGCTCTGGTGGACCACGGACTTCATTCTGGCATCGGAGGTGGGCACCCCGCCAGAGCAGGAGAAGTGGATCGTGGGCGAGTTCAACTGCTCCTGCGTGGGCATCTCCAAGTGCCTAGCAGCCTACTGCAAGGACGACACGCCGAACGCCTGCTACACCGACATCGCAGCCGAGGACGCGGCGGAGGCCGATCGCATGGGCCAGCTGATGGGGGAGAAGGCCGCCGGTATCCTCGCAGCGCCCCCCGCCGCAGCGTTCTCCTCGTCGGGCCCGGTGGACATCTCCTCCCTGACGCGCATCGCCAGAGATGACCTCGGTCTGCTGGAGCAGCCCTCGGCGCCGAAGTTCAAGACGGCGCTGGCCCAGATCTACGTGCGTTCTGCCCCGTACGGCGGCTCGGACAAGAGCTCCAACGGCCACCGCTACGACTCGATCCCCTTCGCCAACGGCATGATCAAGTCTGGGATGAGCTGCCAGCTGGTGCACTACGTGCACGACGAGCACGACAAGTTCTTCGAGTTCTGCACGCTGCTGGACGCCATCATTGTGCGCTGCAACCCGGGCCAGATCAAGGCGGACGGTGGCGACCAGGCCAAGTTTGACGACGGCATGCGCAAGATGCGCAAGCTGGGCAAGCAGGTGTGGCCGTCCCCGGACGTGATGGAGTTCATGGGTGCCAAGGACGCGTTGTGCAAGGTGGCGGTGGCGACGCTGAACATCGGCCTGGAGGACACCCTGGCGTACTACAGCGAGTCCACGTTCGCGGAGGGCTTCAAGAAGACGATGGCCTTCCAGCCGCGCGTGATCAAGCAGAATCGCGGGTCCTCGGGAGAGGGCATCTGGATCATCAAGCTGAAGTCCGGCCAATACTGCAGCACGTACGGGGAGCGCTCCTGCACGGACGACGAGAAGCTGGCCATGATGGAGGCCAACGACAACCACGCGGAGGAGCATACGGTGGCCGAGTTCATCGAGTTCTGCGTCAACGGCCGCACGGACAAGTCGGGGACATGGACGAGCAAGGGGGTGGGCAAGTACCTCGAGGGCGGGAAGGAGGCCGGTGGCCAGTTGGTCGACCAGCGCTTCTGCCCGCGGATCGTGGAGGGCGAGCTGCGCTACAACATGGTCGTGGACACGCTCGTCGGAATCATCCACAAGAAGCCGAAGGAGGGCGGCATCTCCGCCGTGGGCGGGACCGGCTCCATCTACACGTTCTACGGGCCCGAGGAGCAGAAGTTCGCGGCCTTGACGGAGAACTTCTTAACGAAGGACCTCAAGAAGGTGATGCCAGCGCTCGGGCTCGCTGACGAGCCGATCCCGCTCTGGTGGACCACGGACTTCATTCTGGCATCGGAGGTGGGCACCCCGCCAGAGCAGGAGAAGTGGATCGTGGGCGAGTTCAACTGCTCCTGCGTGGGCATCTCCAAGTGCCTAGCAGCCTACTGCAAGGACGACACGCCGAACGCCTGCTACACCGACATCGCAGCCGAGGACGCGGCGGAGGCCGATCGCATGGGCCAGCTGATGGGGGAGAAGGCCGCCGGTATCCTCGCAGCGCCCCCCGCCGCGGCGTTCTCCTCGCCGGGCCCGGTGGACATCTCCTCCCTGACGCGCATCGCCAGAGATGACCTCGGTCTGCTGGAGCAGCCCTCGGCGCCGAAGTTCAAGACGGCGCTGGCCCAGATCTACGTGCGTTCTGCCCCGTACGGCGGCTCGGACAAGAGCTCCAACGGCCACCGCTACGACTCGATCCCCTTCGCCAACGGCATGATCAAGTCTGGGATGAGCTGCCAGCTGGTGCACTACGTGCACGACGAGCACGACAAGTTCTTCGCGTTCTGCACGCTGCTGGACGCAATCATCGTGCGCTGCAACCCAGGCCAGATCAAGGCGGACGGTGGCGACCAGGCCAAGTTTGACGACGGCATGCGCAAGATGCGCAAGCTGGGCAAGCAGGTGTGGCCGTCCCCGGACGTGATGGAGTTCATGGGCGCCAAGGACGCGTTGTGCAAGGTGGCGAAGTTGAACATTGGCCGGGAGGACACCCTGGCGTACTACAGCGAGTCTACGTTCGCGGAGGGCTTCAAGAAGACGATGGCCTTCCAGCCGCGCGTGATCAAGCAGAATCGCGGGTCCTCGGGAGAGGGCATCTGGATCATTAAGCTGATGTCTGGCAAATACTGCAGCACGTACGGGGATCGATCTTGCGAGGACGACGAGAAGCTGGCCATGATGGAGGCCAACGACAACCACGTGGAGGTTCATACGGTGGCCGAGTTCATCGAGTTCTGCGTCAACGGCCGCACGGACAAGTCGGGGACATGGACGAGCAAGGGGGTGGGCAAGTACCTCGAGGGCGGGAAGGAGGCCGGTGGCCAGTTGGTCGACCAGCGCTTCTGCCCGCGGATCGTGGAGGGCGAGCTGCGCTACAACATGGTCGTGGACACGCTCGTCGGAATCATCCACAAGAAGCCGAAGGAGGGCGGCATCTCCGCCGTGGGGGGGACCGGCTCGATCTACACGTTCTACGGGCCCGAGGAGCAGAAGTTCGCGGTCTTGACGGAGAACTTCTTAACGAAGGACCTCAAGGAGGTGATGCCGGCGCTCGGGCTCGCTGACGAGCCGATCCCGCTCTGGTGGACCACGGACTTCATTCTGGCATCGGAGGTGGGCACCCCGCCAGAGCAGGAGAAGTGGATCGTGGGCGAGTTCAACTGCTCCTGCGTGGGCATCTCCAAGTGCCTAGCAGCCTACTGCAAGGACGACACGCCGAACGCCTGCTACACCGACATCGCAGAGGAGTTCGGGGACCATTGCTGCATCCACTACCTTATGGGCAACGTTTGGAGGGGGGATACAGTCGAGGCCCATGCCAAGAAACACCCTGGTTGCCTCCAGGATGCCCTGGTCTTTGTTGGGTTTCGATGGTTCTGCTATGGAAAGCGTGACGTTCCCGCGCCAGAAATCAATGGACGTCCTGGGATCTCAGGGTTGAGTTTCTTGTGAAAGGTTTCTTGAGGACTGCCCTCCACTGTATTGGCGATGGATCGCCGATTCCAGGTCGTTGCGTCCCCCCTCATGTTCCCCTCCCTGCGTTCTGTTGACTGTGTGAAACCTCTTTCGCATATACAGCTGTGCAGTCCCAGACACCGGGATGTTCACCATGCGTTTACTTCTAGCTCCTAGCGCCACGTGGTGCAAGCTAGCACGATGCAACACACCGAAAACAAATACCAACCAATAGATGATTCGTCATAAAAGTATCATGTTCCCCCTTCCTGCCCACCCCTCTCAGAGGGCGGTAGCCGACGCGGAAATAGACCTCGGGCGTTTGCGAGCTCTCCGCCTATAGATTGGGCCCTCCCCCCCTCCGTCGGCGCAACCGGCAGTCGCACCCGGCAGCGAGTACCGTGACATCGCGCACTTCTCCCGGCGAGGGCAGCGCCAGAAGATCTGGACCATCTTGGAGCAGCTTGAGCACTGGGGAAGAAGTTTGCGCGGAGCCGCACAATGCACGGGGGATGGACCTTACCAGGGTACATTGGTATCGCTCCGACTTGTGTATTTTCCTCCACGACACCGGCGCCACGAAGGTCCATCTAAGAGCATCTTGGATCATCTCGGTGAAAGAAACGCACGACACCGAAACATGCACGGGGAATGGACGTCCGAGCGATGGTAAGGTATTGCTGTGGCAGCGCGCAGGAATTTGGCATGAAAACGGCAGGGAATCACTACACTCACGCCTCACCGCCTCACAGCGCAGGATTATACGGATGGAGGGCGACCCCTGTTCAATGCGGAGATCTCGTTTGTGCGCCACGCAGACCTGTGTCAAGTCTGCAACAGCGAGAAAGATGGCGGGAGGTTCGTTTTCAGCATGGGGCTCTCGCCTCGGGCGTCTTCAGATCTAATTGCCACCAGGGTCACAAGGTTGACTTTATCGAACAGCTGATGACACATGGAGGGCGGTTCCTTGTTCAAAAAGGGGCTCCCGCTTGCAATGTTCCAGAAGCGCAGACTCGTGCAACAGTCGCGCGGATGGGAGGACAGTTCGCATTCGAAACGGGAGCCGAGATGAACACCTCGTTCAAGCGGATGATACTACATTTTCGCATCCGATCTACAGTCAACCCGCACAGTAAGGATGGGCAACCTTCCCAAGGGTGCCCTTGCATCCTTGCCTCCTCGGTCCATCCTTCGCCAGTTTCATTGGCCAGGCCCCGCTCGAAAAGCTTCGGTGTGGCCTTCCAAAGCCCCTGCACCCTTGTCGCGCGTCCTTACTATAATGGAGGATGACGATTAATGAATGACCGGGGGTCGTGTTCACGCGGCGGTACCCAAGATGACGATAAGAAAAAAAACGGCCGCGGGCTGGAAAACTATTTTTGTTATCGTTCTCCTCCAGTCAGGAACTTGTGCAGAAATAGCAGAGAACTATTTGTTTACTCGTTTTTCTCCCATTGTTATTCATCGTCACCCCGCATTACCATACGGGTTGACTGTGCTCCGCTATATACCGGAAGGGTGCACCGCGGCTCCGGCTCCGAGCGGGGCCGTCGCGCCGCAAGGGCAGGCCCGGGGGCTGCTCGTCTCTCCGGGAGAGCGCTCCCTGCAGCGCAGAGAAGAAGAAGGTGCCTTCGCGCACACGAGGGGGCGGCCTCTGGGACGGGAGGGTGCACTGCAGCACCGCGGATCTCCTCCTCCTCCTCCTCCTCCTCCTCCTCCTCCTCCTCCTCCTCCTCGTGTGTGTCGTGGGCTGACTGCGGTTGTCCTCCCTCCTCCCCCCCCTCCTCCCCATGCCTGCTCCTCCTCCTCCCCTTCCCCCACGGGCACCCGCAGGAGGACGCGGCGGAGGCGCAGGAAATGGGCGACCTCATGGGCAGCAAAGCTTTGCTGATCCTGCGGCGTTCTGCTCGCGCGTCCAAGAGACTTTCAAGCAAACCGTCACAGCAGTAGGAAGACCGCCCGCCATGCCAGAGAGATTTGCTGAACGTGCTCGCGAACCTTAGGCCACGTCCGTTCCAAGAGGACGAGCGTGGAGAGACGCCAAAACGGGAGGGAGTAGCAAAGCCAGCCAGGATGGACGGATGATGCCCGGCAGAGTGGAAACATCTCCCCCACCATGTCCTAAGTCGGTGTGTTTTCTTGGGGTATGGTGTGCGTCCTCCTCCTCCTCCTCCTCCTCCTTCTCCTCCTCCTCCATCTCCTCGCGCTCATTGATCCCACCGCTTCCGTTTCGCCGTCGCGAAAGACTCTGCACCGAGGTTCACAGTCGCACACGCAAGCATAAAAAGCAACATGCCCAATTCGTGCAGGCCACATCACGCAGACACGGGACTCGCAAAAGCAGTGGCAGCAGAAAAGAGGCGGTTTGGGTTCGTGAGTACCAGCCCGTCTACGGTAGGTTCGCTTCGTGTCGACCAGCGGCGACCGCGCCGACGGCATTCAATGTTGAACGCCGCCTGCGACCCAGAATCGGTCGATTCGTTCAAGGTTGAATGGTCCCCGCAGGGTCGACACGAAACGAATCCGCGGTAGAAACAATTTTTAGGCGAGTTTCATGAGAGGGGCAGTTGGGGAGCATTATGGCACAAGCGGGCGGGCAATTGTCAGTCAAAATTGGGATCAGCCCCAGCATCATCTGACAAATTTGGAGACCTCCAAGAGCTCTACTATGGATCGTCCGGAAGCCTTTGGGGCTCTCTCGGCGCTTTTCTGGAAGCCGTCGGGTAGTCTGGAGGCAATCTTGGAGCCTGTCAAGATAAAATGAACCCCTACAAGGCAATGGCCGGTGGGAGCCGGACAAATCAATTATTTGGACAGTCTGGGGATCTTGCTTGCGGACCTGAGGGTATCTTGGGGCCTCTCTGGACCTGTTTCCCGGGCCCTCTTGAGCCATCCAGGGGCCTCCTTAACTCTTCAAGGCCATCGGAAGCGAAAAGGCGTGAAGCCGTGGCGTGATATCGGACCCCGAACCAAGCCTCCGGGTCAGTTTCGGAGGTTGCCGCGGCGATCGCGGCGGCCATAGATCGGGGCAAGGTTTTTGTCAAGGAGAGGCATGTCCTTTCCCAGACCCCCTCCCTGTTCTGCGATGTGGACGTGGCTCTGAGTTAACCATGTAGCGACAGAGAGTTGACCATGTATGTCCAGCATGGGCAGTCACGTTGTTTTGGCTAGGGGTCGTTTATGGTCATGGACTTTGGCTTAGCGTGTCGCTCTGCCAGTTCTGGCCCGCCGCGCTTTGGTGCGACACGCTACTCACGTCTCAGCACTCAAGCGTCAACATCCCGAGCTGCTCCCAGCCTCCCGCACCGCGGAGCAGAGCGTCACGCGATCCGCTCGCAGGGAATGGCGTGTCGCTGGAGCCGCTGCCGTGACACGCTAAGCAGAAGTTCACGACTGTATCACGCAACCATGAAGACAATGATCATTGGAGAAAACACAAAAACTGGTTTACCCCTCCCCCCCCCAAAAACAAATATATAAAAAGAAGAAAGCACGAACAACAAAACGCTGCTCGTCTAGGATCTTGGCCTCGCGGAGGGGTATCCCTGGGGGGGGTCTTCCGTGCAGGTCTTGGACCGTTCTGGCCAGGGGGGGCTGGGGCCGCGCGGTGGCCGTGGGCTCCTTGGGGGCCTCCTCGGCCACCAGCGCACTGCCGGGGGCTGCCCGAAGGCAGGGACGCCTACGAACCGATTCGATGCGACTCGATTCGCCAGCCAGGGCCGCGATTCCGATTCGATTCGGCTCGATTCGCTGACCCAGGGCCAGCCAGAGCCAGGCGCAGCGATCCGATCTCGATTCGATTCGGCACGATTCGCTGGCGATGCGACCCGTTTCCGATCCGCTCCGACTTAGTGATTTGATCCCGCGCAGGCTTGGAAGGCCGCCTGGAGGCCATCGGGTCGGCACGACCAAAACGGGTATGGAATGCATGGGCACGGAGGCCGACAGCAGTTCCTGCCCACGTGGAAAGGGGTTCCACGTCGGCGTCGCCGCGGGCGCCGTCCATTTGAGACAGGAGGCCGCCTGCCCAACAGCGGCCGCTGCCGCTTCTGCAAAACACCTGCTGCAGGGCATCGTGCCAGTTTTCCCGTATCCGTTTCGAACATGCAAGCCGGGAAGCGTGTGTTGAATGGTTCAGGGCGGAGGTTGAGTGATAGCACTGACCACATAATGGGCCCAAGCAGCGTGAAAGCGTGCCGACGGCGCCGCATCAAAAAGAACAGGCATGATACGGGATGATCTTCAACATATACCCCCGCGTCATCCTCCCAGCCATCTCACAGGAACGGCGAACCAGGAAGCGACGGCAAGTTCGCTCCTCTCGACGTGACGGCGACGCCAGCGCGGGCGTACAGAATTGAGCACACCCCTGAGCCCACCGAAACAGTCCCCGGCACGGCACTAGAGCCAGTGCGTAAGATGCTAACGACAGCTCCAGTGAGACCTCCGAGAGCGGAGACCATTCAAGATGGAACGACTCATGCAGGGAGGAGGAGGAGGACGAGGAGGAGGAGGACGAGGAGGAGGAGGAGGAGGAGGAGGAGGAGGAGGAGGAGGAGGAGGTGGAGGAGGAGGAGGGAGGAGGAGGGAGGAGGAGCAGGACGAGGAGGACGAGGAGGACGACGGGGAGGAGGACGAGGAGCGGCAGACCTGAGGGGCGGGCTCCCTCGGGTCTGCCGTGCTCCGCCCTGCGGAGGCCATCCACGAGGGACCCACGCCGTCAGGGCATGAGCTCGCCGCACTGCCTCTCCGCGCTTCCGGCACCCCAGTGGCCCCGAGCGGGGGGGGGCCAGCGGGTGCTCCGCCGAGGGCCTCTTGAGGGGGGCTACTGCCACCGCTTCGCCCAGCGCAGGGCCCGGGAAGTACACCTTAGGCGATGCTTCAGAAAACGTAAGTTTTCGGCCAGAGTCTCGATTATTCTTAATTTTTCAATGGGAATCCTAAGATTTTAATGGAAATGTTGGGTTTTTATTCAAGTTCTGAGACTATGAATTTCTTAACCCATGATTTCTTAAGCATTTCGCAGGGTGTACGGCCAGGAGCGCTGGCTCCGCGTGCCGCGCCGCCGGTCTTGGCCCACCACGCGCCGGCGCGGCACGCCGGGGGCGCACCCGTCGCGCTGGCCCCCGAGCGGCAGCAGGCAAGAGGCACAGCACGTCGCTCGCAGGACACGGCGAGTTTGTGCGCACAGCGGGGCGGGGTGGGGGTGTCTGCTCGAGGGGCGCAGCGTGTCGCCAGGGCCGCTTCCGCGACAAGCCGAGCAGAAGTTCCTGGCCGTGCGTGATCCTTCGTGGGCGGGCGGCTCGTGTGAGTTCGCGTCGTCCTGGCCGCCGCGGCTTCCTGGCGCCTTTTTTTCCGAGGGCGAGATGGGGGTGACGAGGCGTTGACGACCGGGGCGAGGACGAAGAGGACGAGTGGGGAGTGGGCAAGCTGGGTGCGCTCGCGCCACATCTGACATCATGCCCTTCCCTCCCATCCCTTCTCATTGAGCTGATTTTTATTTACAGTCGGGGCCCTGAAGAAGGAACCCTTTTCGTTGGGGAGGGGCTCCGCGTTCCTCAAGTGTTTCGCAGCTTGCCTCAGGTTGTCCTTACGTTTTCGATCGGATATCGAAGTTTAACTTATGGAAAAAAAAGGGGCCTCGTTCCTTATTTAGGGTTCCTTAGGTCAACGCCCCGACTGTATCCGCCAGCGGGTGTCACAGCGGACCTGTAACACCCAAACGGATCAGTTCGTGTCACGCGCAATCTGAAAAAGGGGAACTGCGTACATTGGAGGGGGTGGTGGCAGATGAGCAGGTGGATAAGCAAGAGGAAGAGGGGAAGGAGGAGGAAGGAGGAAGGACGAGCAGGAACGGCAGCAGCAGGAGCAGGGGGCGCGGGAGGACCAGGAGGACCAGGGGAAGGCGGGGGAGGGGAAAGGAAGGGGGCGACAACGGCGCGGGGAAACGCTCGGACCCAGAAATGTGGCCAGCGTTGGGGCGAGAGCGCCAGTCTGAAGGACGGGAGTGAACAGGGAAACAAACCAGAGGAGGAGGAGGAGGAAGAGGAGGAGGAGGAGGAGGAGGAGGAACAAATAGGGAAACAAACCATGACATAGGGAAACAAACCATGACATAAACATAACAACTCGGAGGTCCGCGCGGACTTCTCGGATCGGCGTTGGACCCCCCTCCCTGGCGCGCTCCGCGCGCCGGGGGCGGCGCCGCCAGGGGCCTCCAGCGCCGATCCGAGAAATCCGCGCGGACCTCCGAGTTGTTTATGTTTATGCCACTGTCCGTTCCCCTCGTGGAGCGCCCATCCGAAGACGAGGCCAACGCTGCGGCGGGGTCACCCTGTCGGAAGGACCAAGGACGCCCAGGCGGAGAAAAAGGCACTCGGAGGAGGGGCGCCGCACGGAAAGGGTCGGGCGGCCCTCGAGGGGAGAGGGGGCTCGGCGTGAGCTGGGTCCGCCCAGCCGGCGACCCGCCGCGGCAGCGCCCCCGCAGAGCGGCGGCCCGGTGGGAGGGCGGGGCGCGGAGAGAGACCAGGGGAGGAGGAGGAGGAGGAGGAGGAGGAGGAGGAGGAGGAGGAGGAGGAGGACGACGACGAACTCTCGCACCAGTCCCAGTGCACTCGGAGGGGGGCGCCGCTCCCCGCACGCCCTCGGGGTCAGAGAGGATACCTGGCCGGACCTGGAGCGCGCGCCCTCCAAGAGGAGGAGGAGGAGGAGGAGGAGGAGGAGGAAGGAGGAGGGAGGAGGAGAAGGGGAGAAAGAGGAGGAGAAGGAGGAGGAGGATGGAGGAGGAGGATGATGAGGAGGAGGAGGAGGAGGAGGAGGGAGGAGAAAGAGGGAGGAGGAGGAGGAGAAGGAGGAGGAGGAGAAGGAGGAGGAGGAGGAGGAGGAGGAGGA